TTTTTCCCCAAAAAAATTACTTCAAGCTCTTTGCCAAGGTTTACTATTTGCCCATTATTTTTCAGTGTCCTCCTTAGTTAAAGGTATGACAATTTCTGCTGAGTCTATTCCTGCTAATTGATGAAGTCTCAATTTTTCCTTTTAAAATCAAGTCAGGGTGGTTCTGAGTATCTGCACACCTCCTCTCTCATCATACCATGACGGACACCTTTGTCAGTACCTGGAAGCTAGTGGACAGCAAGAATTTTGATGACTATATGAAGTCCCTCAGTGTGGGTTTTGCCACCAGACAGGTGGCTAGCATGACGAAGCCTACCACAGTCATCGAGAAAAACAGGAATACTATACTCATAAAGACATACAGCACCTTCAAGAACACAGAGATGAGCTTTCAGCTGGGAATGCAGTTTGATGAGGTAACAGCAGATGACAGGAAGGTCAAGTCGATCGTGACACTGGATGGAGGCAAACTTGTCCAAGTGCAGAGGTGGGATGGGCAAGAGACTCTGCTTACAAGGGAGCTGTGTGATGGGAAGCTCATCCTGGCATTCACCCATGGCACCAGAACTTACAAGAAGGAGGCATGATGCTCCTGCACTGTGGCTGACTGTTCCTCTGCTAACTGGCTACCCTTTGACTCAGCACCTCATGCCTCATTTTTTTCCCTCTGGTGTTTTGTATAAATACACTTGGGTTGGGATTTTTTTGGAGATGGGGCACCAGTCTGAATCCCAGTTCCCATTGTGTATGTGGCTTTATTCTTTAAAACTGTATCCAAAGGTTGCTCTGAGGTCAATAAAGCAGAGCCAAGGCTGCCTAAATAAATAAATAAATAAATAAGTAAATGAATAAGTAAATAAAATCAAGTCAGAGATCTTTTCCACATAAGTTTTTAATCTGTTTATTTGGTAGAAATATCCATTCCAATATAATAAATTCCCTCCCCATTAAAATTCCTGTAGGAGAATGCTCAGAGTGTAAAATAACCAAAATGCAATCAAGCTTTGGATCTATACCATCCACATGTCCTCCCTGTACTTTCTTTTCCACCAAGGCCAGTTCTTTCTCAGCTTCAGCTGATAATTCTCTTGGACTATTTAAGTCCTTGTCACCATCTAAGGTTTTGAACAAATTACTAAGTTCATCATTTTTTACCCCAACAATAGTTCATAGATAGGAAATGTCTCTAAATAATCTTTGAAAGTCATTAAGTGTCCATAATAGGTCACTCCTAGTTTGCACCTTTTGGGGTCTAATTTTTTGTAGACCTATTTTATATCCTAAATAATAAAATCTCCTCTTTGTATCTTTTCAGGAGCAATTTGTAATCCCCAACAAGGCAAATTTTTCTTTAATTCTTCTAACATTTTTCTAAATTATCTGGATTTTAATCAGCTAGTAAAATATTGTCCATATAATGATAAATTACACATTTAGGAAATTGTTTACATATTACTTTCAATGGCTGTTGTACAAAATATTGACACAGGGTTAGGCTATTCAACATTCCCTGTGGGAGGACCCTCCATTGCTATCTCTTAACTGGTTGAGAATTATTATAAGTAGGCACTGTGAAGGCAAATCTTTGTCTTTTTCTTGTAAGGGTATTGAAAAGAAACAGTCTTTTTTGTTTTGTTTTGTTTTGTTTTCGAGACAGGGTTTCTCTGTGTAGCTTTGCATGTTTCCTGGAACTCACTCTGTAGCCCAGGCTGGCCTCGAACTCAGAGATCTGCCTGCCTCTACCTCCCAGTGCTGGAATTAAAGGCGTGTGCCACCACTGCCCAGCCCAAGAAACAGTCTTTTAAATCAGTAAGAATAGGAGGCCATCCTTTAGTTAACAGAGTAGGCAAAGGAATTTCAGATTGTAGAAATCCCATTGGCTGAATTACTTTGTTAATTGCTCTTAGATCTGTTACCATTCTCTATTCACCAGATTTCTTTTTAATAACAAATACAGGAAAATTCAAAGGGCTGGTTGATTCTTCAATATGCTCAGCATTTAACTGCTCTTCTACCAGCTTTTCTAAAGCCTGGAGTTTCTCTGTTGTTAAAGGCCATTGCTGAACGCACACAGACTTGTCTGTTAACCATGATAAAGTTAGAGATGTTGGTGTCTTTGGAAGATCAACAGTTGTTTTGCCTTGTTCTTGTACAATTTTGATGGCTGGTGACCACTCATTAAAATAATCCCTCCTAATATTTCTCTCAGAAATGTGTTAGTTTATGATTTGTTTCTGAGATTGGAGGGATGTTAATCTGAGTATTCCATTGTTTAATAGATCATGGCCCCATAAGTTCATAGCTATATTATCCACACATGGCTTTAATTTTCCTCTCTGTCCTTCTGATCCTATACATTTGAACCATCTTGCACCCTGTTTCACTTGAGATAATGTTGCAATCCCTAACAGCTGGACATTTACCTCCTGAAGAGGTCAATTTGGATGCCAAAATTCTGGTGCAATTATTGTCATATCAGCACCTGTGTTTACTAAACCTTCCAAGAAAATGCCATTTATTCATATTTTTAATTTTGGTCTTTGTTCATTTATAGAAGTTTGCCAAAAAAGTCACTTACGGTTTCTCCTGAACTTCCTGTTCTCTATGCTAGAGCTGCTCTATCACCTGGAGCAGCCTGGTTTATTCCAATAAGCATTTGGTTATTTAATTGCTCTGAGAAGGGTTTTCTTCTATGATGACAGGAAAGGTCTGAACTGAACTTGCTGTGGGTGCCTGCATGAGGCCCCTCTGGGAGTTTCCCGAGGGCAGAGGCAAAGGATTACCTTGTCTGTCACTTGTTGATCTACATTCATTGGTCCATTGTTTAACCTTCTGCATAATCCCGAAGGGAGGGGCTTTCTGTTGCTGTTGTTTCTTGAATAAATATTCTTTGTAGGAATGCCCTGTTTACACTCCTTTTTGAAATGACCTTGTTTACCACAACTAAAATATCTGACATTATTTTTCCTCAAAGCTTTTAAAATTACTTCTATCCACATATCATCATGGCCATGAGACTCAATATTGTGTCCCTGATCCAGTCCTCCAAGGGTGCTGATCTTGCCTTTAATGGCCTGATTATTTTTTCTTGCATGCTGCATTAATGTTATCAAAAGCCAAAATTCAATTATTATCTGTCTAGCTTCTGAATTTGATATCATTCTATTTACTGCTGAAGACAATCTTTGTAAGAAATCCATGAAGGATTCTCTGGGGCCTTGTATAACTTTTGTGAATGATTCAAATTTTTTCCTGCTTCCTCAATTCTGTCCCATGCATTCATGGCTGCCATGTGGCATAGAATTAAGGTTTCGTTATCATATAAACATTATCTTTGTATGTCAATGTATTCACCTTCTCCAAGAAGCTGATCCTGGGAAATTTCCACACCTCTAGTTCTACATTTGTGTTCTATTGTTTTAGCCTCCTCCTTAAACCATGTTTGGCATTATAATTGTGCCCTTCCTCCAGGAATGCTGCTATCAATTCTTTCCAGTCCTGAGGAATAATCCTATTACAAGTTGACCATGAGTTTTATAATTGCTTTACAAATGCCATAGGATACTATAGCTTCCTTAAATCTCCTTAAATCTAACATTTCCACTGGCGTCCAATGAGCTTGTTACTCTCTTGAGCAGGTAGTTCCTGTAAGGTTACTGGGTATGTTAAGTTTGGTTGTTTGAAAACATACTGTCTCTCTGTAACTGTATAATTCAATCCTGAAATAATTTCACCTTTAAATTCATATGTCTGGGTCTGAATTTCTCTATAAGTCATTTTAACAGGTTCTTCTTAAAGTCAATCCTGAGTTAGTTTCACCTTTGAATTTTTCTGTTTGGGTCTGAATTTCTCTGTGATTCATTTTTAACAGGTTTTTCTAAAGCTTTTATCTTGATAGTTAAATTGACCAACCTTTTTAATACTAAAATAAGGATGATTAAACAAATAATATTTGTAATTGATGTTGCATACCTTCTATCAACATTAATTATCCTCTCATGTAATTGTTCCATTTTCAGACTGCTAATATGTTATCAAACAAAGACCAATTTTCTTCCATTGTAAAAATATTTCCCATTTTTTAATGTGGGGGGAAAAATCTTTTTTAACTAGTTTCTTCCTTTAAATCCTTAATTGACTTACCAAGTCTGCATAGAACAGTAGAAGTTTGAAGAAACTTCAAAGCAGCTGCCTAGTGTGGTGGCAGCCCAAGAGGGAAATCCAGAGAGTGCAAGAGCCCACCACCTACCAGGAGCTAAAAAAAACAGCCAAAAAGACTCCAGCCATGTGAGTTGGAGATCTGGCCACAAGCAGCTCCAGTCACATGTAGCCCAGATAGCTTGTAGCTTTGGCCAAGCCTGGGGCCTTATAAACCCCAGCCAATTTGGGGGGGGGGGCTGTAGCCTCGGGCCTGTAATTCCATTAAAGCTTTTTAATGAGTTTTTGCCACGTGGGCGCCAATTGTGGATGAATTTCTAAGTGGTCTTATTAAATAAAAAAAAAAACAAACAAACAAACACAAAAACACAGACACACACACACAAAAAAAAAAAAAAACATGAAGCCAGAAATAGGGGTGAAAAATCTGACAGAGATGAGAGGAATTGGAACTGCCACCAGCTAACCTTACCTTACCACCCTGCAGCTTCCATAGTGCAAGCTACTTCCTATCTTACCCACGCCTTTAATGCCTTGATGTTCTGCCCTCTCATTGGCTCTTAGCCCAGCTACCTCACTTCCTTGTTCCTGCCTGCCTGTACAGACCTCTAGGTCTCTATGGTTGGTACTGGGATTAAAGGCTCTGTTTGTTAGTATGGCCTTGAACACACAGCAATCCACATGGATTAAGGGCATATGCTAACATTGCATGACTTCTGTTTTTACTAATGGTGGCTAACCTTCATCCTCTGATCCTCAGATAAATTTTATTGGGGGACACAGATAAATTATCACCACAGAGAGACAATACTGGGTTATTCCTCAAGATGAGAGATTTATACATCAGAGAATATACTTCACAGTTGGAAAACCCTGTCAATCATTATAAATTAAGCATTAACTAGGGAACAACCCTTTTCAAAAACACATAAACTAAAAACTGGGGAACTGAACCTTCAGAGCAAAAAGAAAATGGAGATCAGAAAGAAATCTAAAGAGCATGCTCTCCTCATGCTTCCTCGTCTGCACAATGGAGAGACTACACTGAAGGATATCTAAGCTTCCATCAGCTTCAAACCTGAAAATATTCCTCATTGAAAAGGAAAATGCAGAGATAGAAAAGCATGAGTGTGGACTGATCTCCAGTCATAATATTCCTATCCCATCATTTCCTCAGCTAAAGAGACATCAAGAACATTTATTCTTTAAGGGAACACAAAGATTGTTATGGTTTGGATCTGAAATATCTCTCAGTGGCTAAGTGTCAAAGGCCTGGGTGGTCAGCCTATGGCACCACTGGGAAGTGGTAGAGATTTTAGGACATGGGCCTCACAGAAGGAAGTTGCATAATTGAGGCCATTCTCTTGGACAGAATGTTATGTTCTGGCCCCTACCCAACTCTCTGTTGTTTCCTGGGGATCACTGTGGTATCTTTCTTCTACCCTCCCCTACCCTGTGACATTCTGCCTCACCACAGAGCCAAAGAGATCAAGCCACCTGACCATGGAGAGGCTTCTGAAGCCACATGACAAAGTGAGCCATTCCAGCTTCATGTTGATTGCTCACAGGTCTCTTGTCACAGACACAGACAAGCATGTGACTGAATGTTGGGATACTGAACTGGCTCTTGTCATCACTCCAGGCCC